CTACTACTGATCCTGCTACTGCTACTCCTGCTCCTGCTCTTGCTGGTGCTCATGCTCCTCCTCCTGCTGCTGCTCCTGCTCCTGGTACTGCTATCGCTGCTGCTGCTACCAGTCATTACCAGTCCTAGCAGTGTTACCAGTACTACTAGTACTACTGGTACCAGTACTAGTACCAGTATTAGTACTAGTACGTGGTAGTAGTAGTAGTAGTAGTAGTAGTAGTAGTAGCAGCAGCAGTAGTAGTAGCAGCAGTGGCAGTAGCAGTAGTAGTAGTAGTAGTAGTAGTAGTAGTAGTAGTAGTAGTAGTAGTAGTAGTAGTAGTAGTAGTAGGAAGTAGTAGTAGTAGTAGTAGTAGTAGTAGTAGTAGTAGTAGTAGTAGTAGTAGTAGTAGTAGTAGTAGTAGTAGTAGTAGTAGTAGTAGTAGTAGTAGTAGTAGTAGTAGTAGTAGTAGTAGTAGTAGTAGTAGTAGTAGTGCTAGTAGTGCTAGTAGTGCTAGTAGTGCTAGTAGTGCTAGTTGTGCTAGTTGTGCTAGTTGTGCTAGTTGTGCTAGTTGTGCTAGTAGTTAGTGCTAGTAGCAGCAGCCAACGACTTCTTGCATTTTCGCTGTAGTCGTAGCAGTAGTAGTAGTAGTAGTAGTAGTAGTAGTAGTAGTAGTAGTAGTAGTAGTAGTAGTAGTAGTAGTAGTAGTAGTAGTAGTAGTAGTAGTAGTAGTAGTAGTAGTAGTGGTAGTGGTAGTGGTAGTGGTAGTGGTAGTAGTAGTAGTAGTAGTAGTAGTAGTAGTAGTAGTAGTAGTAGTAGTAGTAGTAGTAGTAGTAGTGTCGTCGTCGTAGTCGTGGTGGTGGTGCGGGTGCTGCTGCTTCTTCTGCGGCTGCTGGCAGCAGTAGTGCTTGTCGCAGTAGTAGTAGGGGCAGTCGTGGTGCTGGTGTTGGTGGTGGTGGGCCTGGTGGTGCTGCTGCTGCTGTCAGTAGTACTGCTATCCGCAGGCCTGCAACACTACCGCTGGTTACTGCCTCCTAGTTGTCCTCGCATGCCCATCATTGCTGGACGAGGTCCAAATCCAGGCTGTGGCCAGGATTTCCGCAATGAGTGGCATAAGACCAGGAATGTTTTGTTTGTTCCTCTGTGCTCGTGTGCGTCCTTGCTGGTGTCGGCGATGTTTGCCTAGCTAATTCCATCTAATTCCCATGAATGTATGTAGTTAGTGATGCTGTGCAAGAACTGGAGGCTGTGTGTCCTGGAGCTGCAGCAGGCCACAGTCGATTTCGACTCAGAAAGACTCAGGCCAGCGAAGTCGTGGCAGCGACAGAAGGCCCCAGGCATGTTTCCTTTGTTCAGGGACGCCATGTTGGAAGCCAAGGCCGGCCGCAGAACGTCGAAGCTCTCTCTCAGTGAGTGCTCAGTGCAAGGAGCGAGCGGCACCTGGCGAACTGTTTCCGCCAGCCAAGCGCAAGCTGGCCAGCATTTTCCCTGAGGCAACGCTCCGTTCTGGAGGTTTCAGAAAGTTTGAAAAAGCCGGGCATCAGGCCTTCACAGAATGGATGCTCGTCGAGCTTGAAGAGGTCCCGGGCGATAACATAATCTGGCCGTTCTGCGTCTCGGATTTTGGTCACTGGCTGAGACTCTCGCTGCTTTGGATGATAACTCCTCGTCTGGCGTCCTTCGTGGGGAGCTTGTGGGGTCTTTTGTGCTCTAACAAAGCATGGCACTGTCGGATGACCCAGCACAACCAAGGAGCTGTCTTGCATGAGGCTGCAGAGGCGAAGGTCCTTGACTCAGTCAATTCAACCAGGGATCTTGTCCAACCATCAGGATTATATAGATCGTGGAGGATCTTAGAGATGACAACTTTGGGGGTCTTGGTTAGAGGTGCACAAGCTGCTGGCTGCAAACTGTCTGAAGGTAGAAGAGGAAGACCTGAAGCCGGGTGCAAAGAGCAACTGGATTGTTGAGCGCACGGATTGTTTGTTAGGAATTTCGGAGCTTTCTTGTTAGTTTGTTAGTGTCAAAGTGTGAGTCAGAATCGAGGCGTGCGGAGGAGAGGCCACCTTGGTTGCCAGAGATTGGCTTCAAGGGAAGGGTGCTTGTTTCATGAGTCGAGGCTTGCAAAGCTCGAATTACGGGAAGCCGTCCGAGCCCTTTTTTGCACCTCTTCAGACGTGTGTCTGTGGCTTTGCGCGGAAGCACGAGGCCACCATGTCAGACCTCCCAGAGATTGATCGCATTCTGAACAACGCTCAAGTTTACGGCCAGGACCTCAGTCGACAAAAGGCGGTCGTTGACGAAAGCTTCCAAGAAACCAGGCTGGGACGTTTCTCAAGGATCAGCAGGCGCCATGTACGAGGCCGTGGTGGGAGGGTCACGGTTGAAAATCTCGGAAGTTGGCAGATGCCCGGATGACCGATGTTCTGGTGGGGCGAACTGGCGAACAGTCAGGCTGCGAGCGTCCGCCGTCGAGAGCTGCAGCTAGAGGACGGGAGCTTTGCGAGTTTCATTTTAGCATCCGCTTCGAGTGCGCCTTGAAGCTGGGTTTTGCTGGCCAAAAACCATGAAGCCTTTCGGACAGGAGCGGAAAGTGGATTGCAAGCAAAACTTGGATCTTGCCGTGCGCAGACCTGTTTGGCACCGTTACACCCGGACGTCGGCCCACCTGTCCAAGCACTTCAGGTTCTGACCCTGGACTTGAACATGATGCGCCAGTACATTGAGGACACCTGCAGTTCTTGTCAGCGCCTCTTGGGGCCGTCATCGCAGTCAGGAAGCTAAAGAGCTGGGGCTTGACAAAGAGGTGCCAATTCGGGAGTTTGTTGCAGCATCACGTCGTGCATCGTCTGGCGGCGACAACTGTGCAGAATCAATGCGGCTGCAAGCAGAATGCATTCCAGTGGCTGGGTCCCACTTCCCACCACCGACCAAATTCTAGAGCTAGCGTCTCGTGCGTCAACGGCTAGCTGGCTTGACTAGTCGGAACAGAGGAGACTCCGAGTTCTCTCCGCTAGAGGGAGGCATCAGAAACCAAAACGAGCAAGTCGGCCGCTACTTCAGCGAGCGCTGATGCCAAGTTCACAAAATGCGAAGCAGCGCTCATCCTGCCAGGTGATCGAAAAAGCCGAGGCGAAGTATCAGGAGTATGCCTAGATGCCGCAGATGACGGTCGCAGCTTGAACCTGTTTGAAGCCGAGTTTCACAGACAGACTTGCACAGATGTGTATGTACAGTGCACACAGCCTGTGCTCTTTTCGCTGGGGTTCCAAAGGCGAGCCAGAGAGCACCGACGAGCAGCTGCCAAAAAGAAGAGAGCTGCTACAGCTGCTGCATTGCTATATGCTTCGGTAATCGGTGCTGTCCAGCTCAGCCGCCAGCTGGAAATGTCATTTGGTCCAGGGGATGTGGCCAGAGGTGGGGGGGGGGGGGGATATGTGTATGATATCTCGGATGGGCTGGGCCACGGCTTTGCTAAGCTGGTAGTGCAGGGACACTTGAAGTGTGCCCTCATCGAAGGGAAGCTACAATTGTTTGTGTGGCACGCTAAGACCACTGAACCCCCCACGAAGGAACCTGAAGAGGCTACAGCAGAGAATGCATAATTTTGCCGCAGAGCCCGAAATGAAGGCAGACAGATGTGTCAGCTGCCTACGGACAGCTTTGACCTGAACTCGCTGATGCGCATGCCAGAAGAAACATGACGAAGAAAACGATACCAGCCCCACAGCAGTGGCATCAGCATCTAAGGCCTTTGATTTAAGCAGTCTCTGATTTAGCAGAGGTCTTAGGCTTCCACTGGAGGGACAGGCTGACCGGAACGGACACCGCCAAGCTCGATGCAGTTTTGGTCATATGCTGGGCGGTGGAAACAAGAGAGCCGGAAATGAAAAAGTATTACCAAAATTGTAAATTTTTGCAAACAGCTATAGTTTACGCAGTGCACCGGAGAGCTGACGGAGAAGTGTTAAGCTTTTTTCTTCAGTGGCATTTGCCATTCTTTTCCATGCGACAGCTAGCCAATGCGAAGAATCCCGAGACCAGGACTTCAAGGTGCATGCCGGTACACTGGCCCCCCGCATCCCCCCGCCGATCTCGCCTTTGCGAGCAAGTGCTTCGTGATCCCCGTGCCGTGCTGTGCACTTGCGCAGGTGGATTCTTATGAAGTTCGCTTGAGCAAAAACTTCGAGTCGTCCATCGAGCGCATGAATCGTGAGCTGCCGGAGAATTACAGGAGCTTTTCGTAACTAAGGGTCTGCAGGTAGAGCCGTCCAGCAGATGCGCAATTTGGGTTGACCCGTTGTTGTTCAGGATTCTGTACAGACCCTTCGACATGAAAAACCACGCAAAGTCTGCAGCTCGGTGTCGGTTAAGTAGTCGTAGTGACTTTTACGAGATAGTGTGCGAGAGCTGCATAAGTCGCATGTTGCATAGTTCAGGAGGCGCGCCTATTGTGCAGCCAGGTCGAATCCCACGATCTACGAGGTTTTTGCACGCCTGGCGGAGTCTGTGGTGACAAGGGTCGCGATCGTCCCAGTACTGCAGGGCTTTTCCTGGGAGTGCAGCCACATGCCTAGCACATAATTTTTGAATTAATGTGCTTCCCAAGGGCTTCTTCCACACGAAAACAGGATTGCAGGGCAGACCGGAGAGGCCTTTCTTGTGTTGTAGCCATTCCTGGCCAGATTTTACGGTCGCTTCCGGCTTCGGCTGTGGTTCCAAATCCATACATGCCGATGAAATTGGCTCGCAGCGAACCTCACAAAAATGCAGAGACCGAAATCTACCCAGATGGCTGCTGACTCTGTAACACTGGAAGAGTAAAGACTCAGATGTCGAGCTGCCTGGCCGCCCCCACCACCTCGCATGAGCATGCGACTGCCGGAGAATGGGATAGCTACTAGCGGTAGTATGTGGTAGTTTGCCAACTGGCCATGGTCTCATGATCCTGAGACACAGCGGCGACTTGAGTCCGCTTCCGGAGGCAACAAGGCATTTCGCAGATTTGCCTCACCTCCAATATGCAGACGAACCGAGCACCGCAGTTGGCTTCTCTTTATGTTGGTGCTGGACTTACTAGTAGTTGCCCAGCAGACAGGCCCGGAAATGAGGACATGCAGGCATTTTGACCTTGATGCCGTGGAAGAACATCCGGCCCCAGACTATTGACACACATGGACATAAGGTGATCTTCATCCAGATGTTACGGAGGCGATGCTGCTCTCCAGCTGCACTATTGCATATGTCGGCATCACCGCACTTTCAGCTTTCCGTACCATGATGTCGGAACCAAGGTACGAGCTCTTCAACCCAGTTGGTCCAGTGGCATCTATCCGTATATGCCGAGACAAGACAACCAGGAAGTCTTTGGGCTACGGCTATGCACCTCGGATGAATCGGCTTTGTGAGGCGATGGCAAAATCGGGTATGTCGCGTGCTTCAGGTTAATTTCCACAACGTGAAGGATGCAGAAACGGCTCTGGACTCTCTAAGCTATGCAAGCATCCACGGCCGAAGTTGCCGTCTCATGTGGAGCAACTCGGCTGCTTAGCATCATGCATGCGACACATGATTGTAGATAGGCTAACTTCACGACACAAACGAGGTCAGAGAGATGCTGGACAGAGAAAGGCCGAGCCAATCGACGAGTGAACAGCCGAGGCCGTTTTCCGCCTCTTGCGTCGTAGGAACGTGCAGGCCAACAACAGCAACGTCTACGTTGCAAACCTGGACAAAAACATTGACAACAAGGCTTGCTGCAGCAAAATTTGACGATGTCCCATGTGCAGACACTCTGCTCGTGTAGGCGCTGCACGACACTTTCAGCGTGTTTGGGGAGATTCGGTCCTGCAAGGTGGCCAGCTGCAGCCAGTAAGTGCCCACGGCTCCTGATTATGGATGGAGTAGCCGAAACCGTAACCCTTTCGGGGGCAGCAAACTAGCCTTACAATCCGAAGTCCGTGGGTGAGAGACTCTTGTGAGGCAAGGGCCTAGGAGGCTTCCAGGCTGTCTCGGATTCTCACAAGACGCTGTCAACGTGCCCCTGTGATTTTAAGGCGAGTTGCATGCTTGTTACCACGACGGATCGGTATGAGCCACAATCCGAGGTTGCAGCTGATTTACTTGGAAATTCCTTTGGGTATGGCTTCGTCCACTTCGAAACCGAAGAGGCCCACCTACTGTTTGACTATGTCCCTGCGGATGGCTACTTGTAGAGGACTCCGTCCAGGGTTTGTAGTATACCAGATTACGAGACGAGGCATTGGCCGAAGTCAAGCTTTGCACAGGTCGGACGCACATTCAATCAGACTTGGAAATTATGTAGACGGGCCGTCCTCAGCTGTGTTCATCATAAACGGTTGCCGAGCACTCGCCGTAGGCGAGTGAACGATGTGGAGTGAAGATTACCCCGGATGGGCCTGTAGATGATGGGACCTGGACCTCTTGTCGGTCTGCTGACGTCGTAGCTCTACTCAGGCAGCGAAGGATGCCATTGAAAGGCTCAACAATGTGGAGGTAGGCGGCCAGAAAATTCAAGCCTGCCCCTTACGAGCGGCCTTTTGCAGCCTTGAAAATCCTTAAATTTCACACCTGAGGTATGCATGTGCGAGAATCGAAAAGAGGGTGGCCCGAACAGCCGGCTCCTGAAAGTCTGAAACCGTGGATTCCATCGTCGGCACATGTTGGTACTGTTGCCTCAGGTGCGGAGGACTTCACCAATTTGTACGTGAAGTGTTTTCCGTCGTCTTGGGATGAGGACTCGTACCGGCCTCACCATGTGCACGAGCGTTTTGCGGAAGCCGTGGCAGGAAGCTGTGCGATGTGAGTTCAGCAAATTCGGCAGACTCACTGGCATTGCAGCAGCTTGCCGAGAAGAAGCATAGCTGGGAAGACGGTGTTTGCAAGTCGATGCAGACACGCTAACATTCTCCACGGCATGTCGCAGGCGGAATGTTTCCTGAATCCCCAAGGTCCGCACAGATGCGCAAGGTCGCAGAAGTGCTTTCGTCAATTTTGAACTGCACGAAGATGCCAGACGATGTGTGCAAGAGTATCCCGGCCGCATATGCCGCATCCAACAAGTGCATGGGCCCGACTGAGTTCGGCAGCGCTGTTCTGAGATGCTGAGGATGCACATGAAGGACATGCGAGGTCCTGAAGAACAGGACCGAAACCAATTTGGCTTCGTCGTCTTGTGATGGCTCGTCTATCGACCTGATATGCACCCGGCATCGATGTTGGCATTGCCGGGAATCCACTACTGGTTGCGGCGATGTGCGCTTCTGAGCCACCGCCAAATTTCTTGACTGTAACTGACCAGTGCTGCGTGCGATGCAAGCAGCAGCAGGTTACTTGTCAAAGTGCGTTAGTGTTGCAGTGCCAGAGGGTCCAGACTGCAAGCAATCTGAGTCACGGCATGTCACCACACGGAGTGAGAGAGCGGGAGGGTTCCGACCAGAAGACAAAGCAGAGGATGAGCGAGGGAGAGGGAGTGTGGGATAGTGTGGGGTGGAGACGATTCGAGGAGCTGCCAGACCTTTCGGTGCTTTTCGCACTTCTCCCGTTCTCATGCAGGACACTCCGGAGGAGGTGGGATCAGACGGGCATCCGCTGTCACGACTCTATGTGCAAAGAGCTGCTTGCCTTTTGTACTTTCCAGAAGGTAGTGTTGAATGCTTTGAATGCCTGCATGCTAAAGGGTAGCAGCTGTGGTACGTGCAGGCAACAGTAGGCGCAGTAGCCGTTAGCTGTGCGCAAAACTCTCTCCTGTCTCCCTTCTCACCCCAGGCTCAGCCAAAGTCGGAAAGGGAGCGCATCCTCAAAAAGCAGTTCGCCGAGGATGCCGCACTCAAGAACCCGTCACGAGCCTGAACTTGGAAATACCTGGACGCACAACACTTCTCTCCAGCCAGTGAAGTTTGATGCAGCCTGCGGGTTGAAGTGCAATGCCCAGGTCCAAAATCAGCGCCTTGTCGCAAGTGTCTGCGGATGAGGCTTCATGAGCTAGGGTAAGGCTCGGAGCGGCCTACAAGCTGGAGTAGAGCGTTAGAGCGTATGGGCATGGGCCATCAGAAGACATGAATCACGCATCATAGACCTTGGTCGGCACGAAACTTGCTCCAAGGTTTGTACGTGAAAGGCTTGCATGAGGACATCACAGATGAAGATCTTCGAAAACTCTTCGAGCCCTTCGGCCATGTCTTGTCGGCTTCGGCGCCCTCCGATGCCAGCTGCATGTCTGCATTGGCACTGCATTGTCATGGCAGGGCATGGCTTTTTGATGCATGCTTATCTGTGTTGAGAGCGTCCGCCTTTGCTCAGATGGGAAGTGCCGTGGCTTTGGTTTCGTGAACTTCGGCTCACTCGAGGAAGCTACGAAGGCAATGGGCAGGGTGGGTGCACGCGGGCAACGTTGTGCAACCTTCGTGATTCGTAAAGTTCGTCCGTCTTATACCATTCATTCAGCTTTCCTGTCCCGTACCCTGCAGTTCAGAGATGTCGCTGATCACGAATGTCTCTCACGGCATTTCAGACGAACCATCAGTTCGGGTATGAGCGTTTTTTGTGTTGTTGGTTGCTACTTTGATAGGTTTGCATGTCACGTTGCTGCGCAGATTACGGCCGTGCTCTTTCTTCCCGCTCCTGCCTCGTGGTTGAGGCTTGCCTGTTGCTTTCTGACTCTTGTGTTGGCTCTATCTGTTTTTATCTTAAACGTTTGTGCTTTTGGCCTTCTGGCTTGCCTTTTGCAGTTTCCATCTGGCTATGAATGGTGCCTTCCTTCAGTGCTCTCTACGTTTATCGCATATGTATATGTATATGTACATGTATATGTATATATGTATGTATGTATATATGTATATATTTATATTTAATATGTGTATATGTATATGTTTATGTATTTGTATATTGTATATGTATATGTACATGTATATGTTCATTTTATACATATATATATATACACTTTCAGAACTTTGAATTTTTTAGAACTTTTAGAACTTTTCGAATTTTTTAGACCTTTTAGAACTTTTAGAACCTTTAGAACTTTGAGAATGTTTAGAACTTTTAGAACTTGCAGAACTTCTAGAACTTACAGAACTTACAGAACTTGCAACTTTCAGAACTTTTAGAACTTTCCGAACTTTTTGAACTTTAGAACTTTTTGAATTTTTAGAACTTTTCGATCTTTTCGAACTTTTAGAACTTTTAGAACTTTTAGAACTTTTAGAACCTTTAACTTTAGAACTTTTTAGAACTTTTAGAACCTTTCGAACTTTTAAAACTTGCAGAACTTTTAGAACGCTTAGAACTTTTCGAACTTTTAGAACTTGTAGAACTTTTAAAACTTGCAGAACTTTTAGAACGCTTAGAACTTTTAGAACTTCTAGAACTTATAGAACTTTTAGAACTTGTAGGACTTTTACCAATTTTTTGGAACTTGTAGTACTTGTGGGACTTGGTGAAGTTGTATAACTTTTACAACTTGTAAAACTTCTTGAGGCTCTAAACGCCCACGCGCCCCAAATGCAACAAGCGCTTGTCCACGCACCCCAAATGCAACCAACCCCGTTTATCTACGTTTCGTATTTTTATGAAGTCATGTTGCTGTGCTTGTTGTTGCTGACTTCGGTTTGCCTCGGGCCCTGCGGTCCCCTCATCCCACAGTGCCCGAACCTCAACCTCTGGTCCCTTGTCTTGCTGGTCATCTAGAGGCTAATTTCGGCTGCATGTATGCACGTACGTCCATAGGGAATATCAGGCTCATCAATACAAGTTGCGAGATTTCCCATGTGCTTGTTTTCTCTTGTCCGCTTGTGAAGCAAGGTAGTACCAGTTTTAAGCACGATAGAGATCTGAGGGAGTTTGCTTGCATTGTTTGTTGTTATTTTCGTAAGTAGGGGCGTTGCCAAGCCGTTGCCAGAAACTCGGAGCTTGTCCCGTGCAGGCAGTGTCGCAGATGCATCTGCGTGCTACGATCTCAGACAAGCAGGGGCGGCATGGGGGCAGGCAACACGAGGCAATGGCTGCAAAACCGTGGAATGTCAGGTGGTGCATGGAAGGCCTATTCATGTGGATTTGGCCGAAAGCAAGAAGGCCTGGCCTGCAGCTCAATCGATGGTGTACGACTTTATCTTCTCCTGATTTCTGCTGGCAGTGCCCAGTAAGGTACCCAACAGGAAGCGTTTGATTACCTGTCCAGGATCGCCAGGCACGTCAGCAGCGATCACAGCGATTTGGCACAGGCCGAGGTTCGGAGCCAGCAGTTGACATGCTGTCGGTACTTGCTCATGGGGGATTCCAGAAAACGGTCATACTTTTCTTTGGGTCCTCAGAATGAAGTCCAATTGCTTAGGGTTCTAAGGGTCCCTTACATCGGTGAAAATTGGGGGCTGGCTCCGAGGCATGCCAGGAGCTCGCTTTCCGGGAGTCTCGGCTGAAGACATGCAATTATCCAGATATACCTAGACGACCTAGGACTTAGACCCCTAGGCTCTATCTCATGTTGTTGACATTGTTTGTTCTTTGCAATGTAACCCCAGGCCGAAATCATCTAGTGAATCCTTCCCAGAGGGACAGTCATCCCCAGAGAGGGTTGGTCCTCTTATCCCGTGGTTCCTGTGCCTTGTAATTGCAGATCCGCGTCTTGAAGTTTCTAATTTCTCAGTGTTTGTTCCGCAGGCAGCGTGGCAAGATGATGGGACACACAGGGACTGTTAGGTCAGTGACGGCGAGAGGCACATCCGTCATAGAACTTCTCGCCACAGTCCAGAGTCCAGAGCAAGCCCCTTCTCGAAGGATGCCGAACTCAGTGTAAAGCGTACAGTAAACTGTGAGGTCCATTAGCACTCGCCACCATTTCTGCCTTCGAAACGCTCGAAATTTCTACAGTTTAAAGTCAGGGCCAAGCTGTTCGGCCTCACGGGCTCGTCCGTATGGTCTTCAGCCGTGCTTCAGGCCCACGAGTTTTGCCCTACCTTCAAAGCTGTCCTGACAGGACCACCTCTCGATGTGGTGTTGTTTGACCCGCCGTAAGGTGATGTGCTGCGGTGGAGTTGCAGTTGTCTCGGGATGTGGCCCTGGTGTCTTCTTCTGGTCTTGTTTTCCGTGGCCAAGCAGTCTTTGGGAATAACGCTGGCAGAATGCTTGACGCAATTTGCTGCATGTCCTTTTGCATGTACCACGACACATCAGTCATCATCAGTCACTACCCCCACGACACGACAGCGATCACTGTTATCACGCTACTGATGTACCACTTCTCCTGTGACTACTGCAGCTGCTGCTAGTACAACAACAACTACTACTACTACTACTACTACTACTACTACTACTACTACTACTACTACTACTACTACATAGTACTACATAGTACTACTACTACTACTACTACTACTACTACTACTACTACTACTACTACTACTACTGCTACTACTGCTACTACTACTCCTGCTACTATTGCTACTCCTGCTACTACTGCTACTGCTACTGCTGATACTACTACTACTACTACTACTACTACTACTACTACTACTACTACTACTACTACTACTACTACTACTACTACTACTACTAGCCACCCCCTCCGCCTACCAACCACCTGTCGCCTAAACCCATCATCGTCTTCGCTGGTATTGGATTATACGATATCACCACAGCGCAAGCAGCAACGGTGCTTAACAGCGGTGGTGGTTTTGGACTACGGCATCACGAAAGTACTGTAAACACCGATTAACATGAATGTGCTCTTAAACAGTGCTTCTGAGAGGTGGTTGGTAGGAGGAGGGCCTACTACTTCTACTCCTGCCGCTACTACTACTACTACTACTACTACTACTACCACCTCTACTAAGACTACTACTACCACTACTACTACGACTCTGCTGATACAACTACCACGACCACTACCACTACCACCACCACTACAACTACGACAACTTCTACTACTACTGCTACTACTACTACTACTACTACTACGACTTCTTCTTCTACTATTACTCTGTCTTTTCCACTACCACCACCACTACCACTACAACGACGACGACTACTACTACTGCTGCGACTACTACTACTACTACTACTACTACTGCTAGTGCTACTGCTACTGCTGCTGCTGCTGCTGCCCTTACCACTACTACTACGACGACGAGCTACTGTAAGTCCTACTACTACTACTACTACTACTCCTACTGCTACTCCTACTACTACTACTACTACTACTGCTACTACTACTGCTACTACTGCTACTGCTGCTACTACTACTACTACTACTGCTACTACATTGTGCCGGCAATTTAGAGCCGTTTTTGTTGACGAAATCTTGCAAAACTTGACAATCTTGCCAATCTTGACCACTTGCACCGCTTGGGGGAGGGCGGGGGTTGGTAGTTTTGGTATTCTTGTGCATCTGGGGCACTACGATTACCGGTTCCCTCCTTCCCGAAGTGGTGCAAGCGGTGCGTTGTTGATGCTTGGAATTGCAGCGTTGGGTGATGAATTTCTCGCGAAATTCACCACAGAGACATTACGCGTCTAGCTGCCGGCAGGAGGCTTGGAAGAGACGAGTCTTTAGTAGAGGAAGTGCATCAGAAGTCGGCCGCAAAAGGCAGGCAGGCGGCCTGGAGCGGGCTATCGCCATCGCAGACGTTGGGAGAAGAACACCTACCGTAAGAAGACGTTGACTTGCTTAGGATGCCGAGTTGTTTCGAACCGGTGGACAGAGTGGAGATGTTCTGCTGCATCGACGCTCATGCTGTTGTCCTTCTCACTTGAGATATGCCAAAGTGGTGGCATGAGGAAGCGGCAGATAAGATAATTTGGCGGCGGCGGTTTTTGCAGAGGGCCGTGGCCGTGGCTGACCAAAACTTTGCAATGGAATAACGACTGCTACGAAGTACAGCTTCTTACAAAAGCTAAGCTGGGATATGTGGGAATGTCAGAATGTCCAGGAACTTATTACCTGGCTTCCAAGGTGGCTTCGGGATGCCAAGGCCGGGTGTGATGTTTGCTCCTCCGATAAATGGTCCTCAGATGATGCCGCGAGCTGGAGACTCGTCTGAACTCTTCAGGCAACGGAGCATCGGATGCTGTTTTCGGAAGGAAGATATTTGCTTGTTGCTTTTGTCCTCAAGGCTATGGTGGCTGCGGCGGCTGCGGTGGCTGTGGCGGCTGCGGCGGCTGCGGGGGCTGTGGCTTCGGTGGCTGCGGCTGTGGCGGCTGTGGCTGCGGCGGCTGTGGCTTCGGCGGCTCTCCGATGTTTCCTCCGCCGCTTGGTCTGGGTCTGGGCGGGCTGGGCCCAGCCCAAAACGGAATGCGGGGCCCGCCTCCGACGCTCAGCTTAACTCGACTAACTCGACTCGTAGAAAGAGATGTTTCTTAGTGAAAGTAGCTGCAGCCTGGAGCTGAGGATGGCCTTGGCGCATGGTCGTGGGCAGGGCCTTAGTGGCCAAGCCTCAGGACCGCAGTTTAAAGGCCCTGCAGCTGCCGGGTCGCATGAGTTTGTCTCGCTACGAAACGCTTAGTCGAGGTTTTTCGTACTTTCTGGGCTGTTTGATTTGGTGGCAGTCGGTGCCCTCAGGTTACAGCAGCAACTTTGGCATCCATGCCGCCGCCAATGCAAAAGCAGCTTCTTGGAGAGAGCCTTGGCGACGGCGAATATCTCCAGTGTCGTAGCGTTTGCAAGTGGAACAGATTGCACATGGACAAAATTTCTTTGGGTTTCGATCGGCTAAGGAAGCTTTATGCTGAGATCGCGCGGATGAATGGTGTTCATGCGGGAAAGATTACTGGAATGATGCTTGAGCTTCTTGCATGCACTCTTGCGATTTGCATCGCATGCTTTTTTGACGGCGACTGCAGAGACGCAGTTAGAAGCATGTCCGAGAACAGACGCTATCGGTTGTTTTGCAGGATGGAGAACAGCGACATTCTTGCTTTCCTTGAGTCGCCTGAGCGCCTGCAGTCCAAAGTCTCAGAGGCTTTAGAAATGCTGACACGGTAAATGCAAAGCGCGTCTGTGTGACCGCCACGACCGACATCGTCAAAACGCATCGAGAGACCGTGTGCATGTTGCTTGCACGCTTTTGCGACCTCTCCTCCATCCGCCTTTTAACATGTGTGCTCTGCTTGTGTAGTACAGGCTGCAGAACGGCGTGGTTCGCACGAATTGTGTGGACTGCCTGGACCGTACCAACGTGCAGCACTTAAACTGCCATCCCGGTGCATGTCAAGAAGGATGGCACCTCATCTCCCGAATGTTTGTGTCTCGTGCATGGTCGTTAAATCCGGTAGACACATCACCACCACACGCCTTGCAGCACGGAAGATGGGATATTCCCGTGGCTGTGAATATTCATGGGTCGTGTGTCACTATGCTCCTCAGCCGGGGTGAACCTGCGTGCCAAGCACATGTGAGCAGCAGAAGCCACACCTATGTGACATATGTGACCTACCGCCTTCCGGCCGTGGGAGCATGGCATGGAAGAAACGAGCGTAATTTCCAGGAGAGGCAGCTACACGTTGGGCCGGAAACGGAACCAGCGGTGTAAGTTGTTTTTGGAGTGTCGAATCTTTGAGCTTGGTAGGAAGTGATTTGTGCATGGGGTGCTTTCCACTGATGCAGCTGTCGACGGTGAGGTGTCGACCCCCACCCAAACTGAGGAGGCCGGCAATTTTGCATTTGAGGACAGTTGACGGCAAGGGCCCTCTGTCTGGACCCAGCTAAACTGAATGGGGAAGGACTGTAGGGGTTGGGTGCAGGGGTGACTTCGGCTGTCGGGACGGCCTCTGCACCGGGAACGGACTTTCTGGAAGGCTTGGAGGGGTGCTCGGAACTGTTGGGATTTGAGAGCGTTCTTTGCAAGGAGCTTTCAGGCACCGCCCCCAAGGTGGTTGGCGGATGGCAACTGCCACCAGAACGGCAACAGATCACTTCTTGCATCAATCTCTTGAACAAAATGATGCTGGTGCGAACTCTTCGCCTCCTTTCCCTGAAGCCTCCAATGTTACTGCGTACAAAGCATCGCCGCAGATGTCGCTTTGCCATGTGCACTGACAATGCACCGAGGTTTTACAGTTCTTTGTGGGCCTCGAGGTCTTGAAGCAGCAGCTGACGGCCAGTCGGAAGCTCCGTGTATCGCAGGTTGTGCTGATGATGGCCCGAGGCAATGTGCTTGCTCCCTGAGCCAAAGATGGACTTTGAAAGCCAGGTGCCTCCGTTCCTTGCATTGTTTCTTCATGTTACCTGTGCCTCCTTGTAAACGCTGTTTCGTGGCAGGCAGTCTTCGTATTAAGTGAGCTTTACGATGTCATGGGCGACCACCTTGCCTTGCAGTTCGGTCCACAGAGGGATGCCGATGGGTTCATATCTTCGGGCGGCCATGAACCCACGAAAGGTCAAAACTCTGTGTGTTCTATCCAGTCGTTGCGAAGTATAAGTAGCCGTCTGCTATACAGTCATTTAGCCAGTGCAATTGCAAACTCTCACCACTGCCTCAAAGCCCTTGGCCCACGGGATCCATGTTGGGTGATGCATCGAATCTCCTTGCACGGAGCCACTGGAACCTGTTATGTGCGAGGTATGCTGGATCTGTCGCTCACAAGAAGTACCAGGTAGTTTCCGCTGAACTAACAGTGCAAGCCGCGCTGCCCGATGCTTCACTTGTGGCAGCTTCTGGGAAGCCGTCCGCGCATGATGACAAGCTCGAAAGAGCGCTGGCCCCGGTCCTGAAGTCTGTCAACAGGTTGCCATTTCTCTCGTTTGCTGTCGCTGCGTCCGGGGCACGTGGCATCAGGCTGCTGACGTCTATCCATCGCCATTACAACAATTCCTTCACCGATCGCGAAAAGCAGGACCTCCTGCTACCTTTGTGTTTAGCTGGATCCCGCTGATGTCGTTGGTTCGGGGCAGGCATGCTTGAACCTTTTCTTGGGCCTGTACCAACCAGCAATCCATCCTTCCATGGAGAAGCTCGACTGCTTCAGCCTCAGATCGACGGGCCATGACGGGCCAGTGTCGCCGGGACGTCGTGGCTTTCGATTGGCAACAGGCGACTCCTGGGTTCACCACAAAGTCCTCAAGGATGACTACAGCCCTGGAGTCCCAGGCCTACATATCACGAACTGCCCTGACGCCGAAACTAACATCTCTGAGGAATGGTGGGTTGAGCCGCTGCAGAAGCATCGCCGGAATCTGCTTCCGCTGATATCGAAGGAGTGTACGTTTGAGAATCTTCTATTGCAGGGATGGCAAAGGCCGGGATGAAGAGGCTGGGGTTAGGTTGAAGCGCGTGGGGCACCGGTGTGCCCGCGAACCTGGGTGTCGAAGAAATGTCACATGCCTGTTCTGCAGCACCATAAAGTAATGTAGCGGCCCGTTTAATAGCCGGACCCCCCAGCCTCCACCAAAAGTTTTTGGCTTGAATAGTCCCGGGGCTGGCTGCGGTATAAAAGGGCCCCCACATTAGACCCCCCACGGCTACTGCGATGGGACAGACGAAGGAGGCTTGCAGGGAACTGTTGAATTTTCGTGACGAATCGTATGTGCACGCATGCCTGGGTCGGTGGTGCACGCAAGTGGAAGAAGGATGCTTGCATGCTCCAATCCTGTGGTGATGACAGGAAAACATACTCGCAGAAGTTCGCGCCTGGGTGTTTGATTTTTCCGGACACAGCACTTCTTTCCCTGGCTTGGTCATGCTAAACACGGAGCGCAGCACCAGTTTTCGTGTTCCAATCGATGCCTCGGTGGTTGTGGTCACGTGGCTTGGGTGGCTGGGGGGCTATTGGTCCGACTGTCCGTGTCTGTATGTTGCATGTGCATCTGGCTCTTTTGTTATTGTCCAGCGCTCGTTCTCTCGCTCTTTCTCATTATCGAGTTCTGGCTTAGTCGCACTGTTTCTGTATCGTCTTGTTGGTTTCACATTTCTTCCGGCTGATCTAGATGTCCTAGCTGGCCGGCTGCAATGCTCCCTTTGGGACTCAGATTTACTGTCGCGAGGATCCCGAGTACAACGTCAAACTCACGCAAGACGGGTTGCAAGAATGGTTCTGCCAGGCATTGTCACAAAAGTTAAACGATTCAATGGCTTGGATGTTCCAGCTGCGCAGGTGCACAAGGCTGAGAAGTATACTTGGTTCGAGAAGCTGCTCGCGAATTCCGATGCAACTTTTGTTCAGGTGCGAAGGGCGGGGAGTGGAAGTCGACAACAGGTTGCAGAATTGCATATGTTGGCTAAGATCAATCCCGCAAGTCGCCCATTGCGGACGGTGGGGCCTTACAAGGCCAACCAACTTGCCACCGAAACAGAGCTTCAGAAGTTGTTGTCCATCGACAGAAATATTTGGAGCGAAAGCAGAAGGAAGCGAAGCACAGCGCCCGGACCTTGGTGATTCCTCCCGGATCCTCCCGGTATTGCCACAGTGCACTTGCTTATTGCAATCTTATGGCATTCCCGCTTTCAGAGTTCTCCGGAGCGAAGGCATGCAGACACCGCAGGAACCATGTGCCACAAGTTTCTCTGGAGAACACACTGAGCCGTTTCGCTGCATGCCTGCCAGCTGTGTATGAGTGCGTGAGGCACGCACGGGGGGTCGACAAGAAAAATAGTCTGCAGCGAAATGGTATTGCAAAATGCATCTACTGATCTACCGACCAAGTCATGTCACCGACGACGGTCACTTTACAGATGCAACTGTTCAATTTGTGGACCATAGGCCCGCGGAAGTGTTGTTAATGTCGTACAAACCCGTTTTGACATTCCGCTCGTGAATTTGCAAGCGTAGCATTGTGCACTGAGGAAGCGCCTCTCTCAAAGCCAAGCTTTTCACTTCCGCCGATGTCGACGGAGGAAAGGGAGGCCCTGCATTCATTGACTCTCGGATGTTGGTTAACCTCTCTAACTGTCAGCCCTGATGAATGACCCGCCGATGCCGATCCGTAGCGTGCTGACATGTGATCCTGAGTGTCAGCTGTAATCAGGCGAGCCCATTTGACCTTTAGAGCATACGGATTCAAATTTGTCGAAAGGCTTGGAGATTCTTTACAGGATCCCATTGTCTTTCTGACCCCTCGCCTCGTCTTTTTGACCCCCCGCCTTTTTAAAACCCTCCTGAGCCTGCTGTATTGATGCACCATCTTTTGGACCCTGCAACCCGCCTTTCCGACCCCTCCAGCAGATCGCGCTTGCAACCCTTCTTCTGACCCCCCGAACCTGGTCTACTGACCCCATCGGCATGTCTTTTCCACCCCTGATCCTGTGTTCTCGACCCAAATCGTGATCTTTTAACCCGCCATGTTTTTGTTGATCTCCCTGACCTGGGGGACGACGACGACTTCGGCCACCAATACTGTAGCAGTACCACTACCATTGCCACGACCACGACCGCTGCCACCACTCACAGGACTACCACCACAACGACGACTACTACTACTATTTCCAGGACTACTTCCAGGACTGCTACCAGCACCACCACGACGACGACTACTACTTCTACTGCTACTACTACTAGTACTGTACTAGTACTAGTACGACTACTACTACTACTACTACCACTACTACCACCACTACTACTACAACCACTACTACTACTACTACTACTACTACTACTACTACTACTACTACTACTACTACTACTACTACTACTACTACTACTACTACCACTACTACGAATACTTACTAGGATTGCACCCCTCTGGATGCCTGGTAGTTTTTGTTGCTTAGATTGTGGTGCTGAGTGTGTTTTACATTTTCCGATAAGCTAGGTTTGGAACAACTACTACGGTGAACTGCTGGTAAGTACACCAAGCGGTGTGGTGTGGAAGCAGTGGCCAATGCGGAGCTGCTAGCATGAATGTTATCATCCTTGATTCATGGACGCATTGGTGCAGTAACATGGACGTTATCTTCGTCGGGGCATGGATACGGTGGCCACCGGGGGTCTGGTACAGCGGACGGTATCATGCTTGGGACATGGATGCAACTGCTACTAGTAGCTTGTACATCGTCACCGAATGCAATCCACGACGACAACGGGCTTTGTGAAACTCTTTATCCAAAGATGTAGTGTTTTAAATTAAAAGACCAGAATCAGGGCGCGGGATTCAAAATTTACCTTAACGCCAAGCTCGAAGGCTCGAGTCAGTGGTTTTACGTGTAAAGAATCCTTCCCGGAGGCTGCAGGGATGTCCAGAAGCATCTCTATTTTTCATTCCCAACATTCCTATGATCCCCGTCATTGCCGTCATATCCATTATGCCTATCATCGCTCTCATCCCTATCATCCCCATTATCCTCTGCATCCCTACCGCCCCCATCATCTTCATCATCCCCGTCACCATCATCATCCCCGTCATCTTACTATCGCCCCCATCATCTCTATTTCATCCTCATCAGCTCCGTCATTCCTATCATCGCAATCATCTCTATGATCATCATCACCTCGTTTTCTCCCAGCATCCCTACCATCCCTGTCATCTCTATCATCCCCTTCATCTCTATCATGCCACCCTTCGTATCTTCCACATCATCTCTATCATCCCCACAGTCTCTAGCTTCCGTCATCCCTATCATGCCCACCCTCCCCAGAATCGCTGTCATTCCCATCATCCCGTCATCCCGGCCATCCACGCGATCTCTATCATCCCATCGTCCCCGTCATCCCGATCATCCCGCCAATGCCTGTCATCCTCACCATCTACGTCATCTCTATCATCCCCATCATCCCCGTCATCTCTATCATCCCCCTCATCCCCGTCATCACGATCATCCTCGTCATCCCCATCATCCCCGTCATTCCCGTCATCTTCATCATCTCGGTCGCCCTCGTCGTCCCCGGCTCATCCACCATCCCCATCGCCCACAGCCTGTCCATCATCCACGTCATCCTTATCATCCCCAGCATCCCGGTCATCTCTATCATCCCTGTCACCCCGATCATCCCCATCATCCGTACGTCGGCGATTCGGGGGCAAGAAAGCAGGCTCCGGGGGTTAGAATAACAGTGGTGGCAAAGAACAACAAGTGCTTGCAGCTCGGGGGGATCAGAAACACAGGCTCGGTGGGTCAGGAAAACAGGCGAGGCGGGGTTAAAAGAAAGGTCGACCTCTTCCGCAGTGTTGCATGAAACTGGGTCAGCGTGGAAAAAGAGCTGTACTTGGACGGCAGGTTTACCAGACCTATGTCGACACCAAGCAGCTGAGCCGTCTGATGTGGCTAGAGAGTACAGCAACTGACCAGGTGCCCAGCGTGCTCCTTTAATCCAGCTTCACAGTAGATGCTCTGCTAAGCTGTGACTCTGTGACGGAGACCATCAGTGAACATGACAGCACGGTCATGGGGTGCAACAAATTTGATTCAGGTGCCCTCGTTCAGTTTGCCAGCCTTCGATGCTTTGAAGGCCTCGTCTGTCTGCTTGTGTTTGCTTCAGCCTGTCACGTTTGCGTGTTGTGGGGAAGGGCGAACAGCCATCGTTTCCCGCGACAAGATCAAGGCCACCCGGAGATGCAAGAACAGCTGTGTCAGAACTTGCCAAAGACGGACTTGAGTTTGAAGTTGTACTACAACTTTCACTTGTTTGCCGGTTAGTTGCTTCACAAGTGATTCGCGGCGGTCTTGGAGAAACCACTCTAGCACTGATTCTGCGACAGCGACTCTGAATCCAGTCTGTGCTGGGCAGGAGGGCCTCTTGTCGAATGTCCTGTTGCGGTGTCATGTTGCGGCACGTAGGACTGTTCGAAAGCTTATGCTTTCACGAAAGCTCCGCCGAGCAGGGAGCTTCGTTCAATACGAGCCTGGCGAACTCGGGGTTGTCCACGTTCTTCGCACATCTTGGGCCGTGCTGACATGTGCAATCTTGTCAATACATTTCCTTTCATTCGTGCATGGGATTGTCTCGGAAATGTTGGATTCGGAGGAAACTTGGCACTTCATTCGGTTTTTGTTTCTTGGATGTTCAAGATTTGCTTGTCGTTCTATCTTCTCGTTGCTCTTCTGGGCTTTTTGCTCGCCTTGTGTGGCTGCGTGGTCACGCTTCGTAGAAGGTGCGAGGCAAGGCGGATAGCAGCCCTGCAGACAAGCTATGCCAAGCGTCACAGGCTCTGCAACACACAATAACACACAAAAGCGTTACTCACGAAGCCAAGACCTCGAACTTTGGAGTCGATCAATGATTGAGTCCTCCTCGGCGGTCGTTCTACAGGGACGGTGTTGTTTTTAGAGCCTCGCATCGCGACCAGGACTGCTTCAGAGTTCCCTCCGCATGTGTTGCATCGCGCGGAGTCGCACGTGATGCAAAAACTGGACGCCTGCGGAAGACTTGGAGGGAAGGCAGGCGTCAACGAAGGGAGAGGATGGTGAATGCTTGCGTGAATTCGCAGACTAGCAGCGGCAAAATGCCAATACTTGCCAGCACAAAGCTGAAGCGGTGCTTGAGTCTCCAGGTGCTCAACTGAAACACCCTATCCGTCGTCCTTGTCTGCTGTTGACGAGATGCAGCACGTCTTCGTCGCCCTTCTCTGCTTCAACTGACATGCCAAACGGTTCTCGAAAAAGATGCATGGCATGTTGACAAAGCACGACTTGCGGTTTCCGCCTGGAGCAACAACTTCGGCAGTGGACGGTTTGCGGCACCCTACATGTCCCGAGTAGAGGGTTTGAGACCCGTCCGTCCGGATACCCGATACGAGTTGCTGAAGAGTCTGTGGAGCAGGCAGCTGATGGCACATGAGGTCGCAGAAGCCGCAAGCAATCTCGGTGAAGGCTAGCCTGGTCAGAAGAACACGTGGGCAGAATATGCAGCAGAAGTGTCGTGATGCATCGCTTCTGCGCAGAACTGGCACAGCTCGTTCAGACAAAGCTTCACGTCTATGCCTCAGACGTTGGTCCTCCCGCAATCGAAGTGTTTTTCGTGACTTCGTGAGTGAAGGAGCAAGGCCGGAGCAGGACGAGACGCCAAAGTGTCAAAGCAGGACTCACCAGCATCGTTCTTCGTTTGTCGCGCTTTGAGGAGTGAGGCTGTTTTGCCCGAGACAGAGCGACCAGAAAAGACATCACCGTGGCCTCTTTTGAAGCAGCGCTGTCAAATTGAAAGCTTGCAGAACTGACCAAACCGCTCCTTGATTTGCAAGCTTCATGCCAGGAAGAAAGCCCGCGAGCACAAGCCTTGGCATGCGTTTGCTGATAGCAAAGACAGTGCATGGCACCGAGGAAGGTGAAGAGCAAGCAGAGGGCGGGCTGGCTGTAGCTCGAGCAGAGGAGAATCAGAACGTTCAAGATATGTGGCAGGTGCGAGAGCAGGGCCACTTCGGTCGGATGGCAGATGCAGGTGGAGCTGGAGGACTGTCACCGCGCGCTCACGCATCTCATGCTGCATCTGTCGCAGGCAGGTCGACGACGGCCTCCAGGCGCCGCCAACTCTGCAAATGAAAAGATATGCTCTGACTCGGTTCGAAGCCCTGAGCTGTAGCTACGAGGTCGCACGTGAAAGTGCAACCTGGAAGGAAGAGGCCACAGCACAGCACAGCACTGGCCGGATGCGGCACTTGCGAATCTGCTGAACGCACAGGTGGATGCTTTGTAGCTACTGCGCCAAGGCTTGCGAGGCCGTCAGACTACCAACCTCTATTTCCTCTTACCACCTCTTAAGTCGTAAAGTATGTCAGAGTTCCGTTCTATTTCAATTGCTGGAACTCACCCTGCACATGCAAAGCAAGTCTGAAAGACGTGAATAATCGGCAGACAGTCGGAGAAGGTTTCAAGATGAAGCTGCGTGACTTTGTTCTGTCATCATGCCAGAAGAACATAGCATGCAAGAAGGAATCATAGCATTACAATTGCAGGCTGGCAGTCGGGGAGAGAGAGCTGTGTGTGCCCCCAAGGACACGTCGTGCCATTGTCGTTTGACGAAACACACAGTCATTCGAGAAATGCCGAACAACTTGCAGTGTCCGCGACTGGCTTCCATGACACAGATCACAGTATTTGAAGAAGAATCATGCACAGGGACGTTTGGGTCATGATTGTCGCGCAGTGGCAACATAGGCACGAGAAAAGACTCGGTATGAATCAGGATAATGCTGATTCCGTCAAGTTCAGATTATCATCTGCCGAAAATTGCGAAGAAAAATGTGAAAGAACCAGCAACTTGCCACTGATGCAGGGAGACAAAATCCCCGGTGGCTGGTGTCCGTTGAACAAATGGTGGTGCGACTTTTCGGGTCGTGTCGTTTTGCAGATTCTACAGTACCAGTTGCTGGCCATGCAACTTAACATCACACAACACTGGAGTAATTCAACACACATCACATCTTTTCATACCTCACCCAGATAATCAGCCACGTCACATGTCCTACTTTCGCCTTCCCCCTGTGTTTGAGCGCTCCCCACCAGCTTGCCAGTAGAGCGTATCTGACGCTGTAAAGATGTCGCATGATGTATTGCACACTCCGACAATTGCGGCTCCGAGCGTGGCGAGGAAGAGGCAGACACTATGCCACATTTAGCGAGGTTTAGTTGGATCTTCTGAGACTCCAAAACCTGTTGTCACGCGGTCCCTGATCCCTGATTTTGGCAAGCTGCTGCTGCTGCTTCTGTTGGACCGCCAGGCACCGATTTCAGAGCTGTCCGACACACAGAATCAGGTGCAAATCTTTAAGTTAGGGTTGCCATATGCAAGTTGCTTGTTGGAGCCACTGCGTGTTCACAGGTGCAGATAGCAACATCCGATTCGAGATCGGGCGACAGGCCAACCAGAGCAAGTCTCTGCAGAGAAAGAGGGAGAGACCTTTGGCTCCTCGTCAGTAGGACTTCCAACACGACATGTGTGTATGTCTTGTGAGTCTTGTGTAGCTGGAGTGTATGTTCGTTCTACCAACGACGACTTTGAGGTTGCAGTGTACGTTGAGCCCACAAGTGGGGGTCCCCACAAACAATCCACAACAGCTGTCAACAGCGTGGTAGCCATAGGGCGGTGTTAAGTGTGAAGGGGGGTTGACAGCTCGGGGAATTAGGGGCCCACTACATAGCTCCACAGTCAGGATTTACCCCAAAGCCGACCACTTAATAAACAGATGAGTGGTCGGGTGGGCTAAACGCCTGCGGGTCGCACCGCGACCCCTATGCCCGGCAGAAGGAAAACGGAAAGAACGACCTTTGGCTCAAGTAGTGCACCTTTGCTTGGGGGCCTGTGCCACCCCCTTTGCATCGGGGCAGAGACGAAAGGTTAAGAGACCTACTGGCGCTCGCCGCTTCCTCTGGAACCTGACCGCGGCCCCTCCTTGGAGAGAACTTTCTCCGATTAGTGTACAGGGAAGGTTGGTACCGGAGCAGGCCAGCGCATCTTTCCGACAAAGGGGGTCTCACACTGCGAACCGATACCAGTGCGCGCACGCGTGCGGGAGGGGTCCGCCTCCTCCGTGGCTGAGTGCGCAGCAAGTGCAAATGCTGCAAACGGGGCCATTTGGGGCTCGACCAAGCCACCGCAGCAGTGCAAAACGACATGGCGCAAACCAACAAGGGGGACTTCGACTGACTGGATGTCCTTGGGGTGGAGCTCCACCGTGTGCATGCTCATGAACGATGTGGAGGGCCAACATAAGTGGAAGTGGGGCCCATGCTGGGACTTGCAGGCCACAGCGGAGGGGAACATTCGCCCCTGCTCGACGCAGAGCAGTGGCCGGGGAGCATTCCAAGCACGGACCCCGGACAAGACAGTGAACAGGGACCTCCAGAGCTGATTTCCTACGGACCCGCGGATGGAGAGCTCGTGGCGGCAATGGAGGCGTATGAGCACCAGATAAAGGAAGAACACCGAAAAGCGGCCGCGGCGATGGCTGCTTCTGGGGGGCAGCCTGCTGATGCACCACTGAGTGAAAATGAGCAATCCAATGATACTGTAGCCATAGAAGGCGTCGTATGTTGGCGGTGGTATATGACAAGCATGGTAACTTCCGCCATCCGGGGGACCTGTAGCCGCGGCATGAAGGATCATAGTATATCATAGTTTTGCACCTTGGCCAGCATGTCGACATGTCCTTGTGTCAGCCAGAACAGTTTTGAGCTTTTGCCGAAGCCTTAGAATGTGGAGTGTGGTGAAAGCAGTTTGGCATGTACCTTGGTTATGGCATGGCAGCCCGGGGTTTCACGGAGCTTCAGAGGGAGCAGTATAAAGCCGTCCGAAGCCCCCCCCAGAACTTGGGACGGTGATGAAGAGAGGCACGAGGCCGTGGGTTTCATAATTTAGGGTTCAAGAAGGAGGGGTTGCCGTGCCGGTCCAAGCCAGTGCCACATCGCACTTTCAGTGTCACAGCAGACCATGGATCTCAGCGCGCACTCGTGCGTGAGGGTAAGTTCGTCGCCCCCTGGTTGCGTACATGCGCAAGCAAGAAAGAGAGGACGGTGTGCAGGTGGGCCTTGATGCCCGGAATTCTTGACCGACTCCGGTGGCCGAGAGAGAGAGAGAAAAAGGACATCGGGGCGCGCTCGCGCGCGGGGCTGCACGCAGCCCTTGACCGCATGCAAGCAAGAGAGAGAGAGAGAGAGAGACTAGCCCTGGCGAAAGAAAGACAGAGCTTAAGCTTTCACTCCTCCCCACAAGCCCCCACAAACGTCGGGGGGGCCTACAAGGCCGGGGGGCGTCAGACACCCCTCATGCCCCGGGGAAGAAAACAGAGCTTCGTTGCTTCCTCCTTTTCCGGAGCCGTGCACCAATGGGGTGTGCAGAGAGCAAGCGGGGATGGCAACTTTCCCCTCAAACCAACAAAGGATGATATATATATATATATATATATATATATCTCTTCTCCCTCAGAGTTTTCTTGCAGCGACAACCCGGGATGATAGCCATAGGGGTCGGGACGAGGCCAGGTTAAGGGTCGTAGTCACCAACGTCGTAGTGTAAAGGAAGCTCGTTGTCCGAAACAATTGAACAAACCTCTTCTGTTTATGCCGCAGTCACCGCAGTCATTGGAGCCCCAATGCCAGCCGCTCAATAGCACATTGGGTGGGCTGAGTGGGCCTTTGGTCTGAGGGTCGCACCGCGACCCATTTGCCCAGCAGAAAGAAACACAGAGAGGATCGGCGCCGTGTGGGCAGAATAATCAGCCCATCAGGACAGCGGATTCACCGGGGGCACCAACGTCCTCGGACCCGGCGATTCAAATTGGTAGATGCTTGAAGAACTGGAACTATTACGAGCAGCAGAAGCAAGGGAAAACCATGTTGCCTCGAACATAGTGAGATTTCATTTTAGATTCGAGTGGCGAAGCATGGTAGTTTGAAACCTGAATGAGGACTTCGACGGGCTCACGTCGAAGTCCTGACTGGCATAAGCATGCAAGGAGCAGCCCTTAAGACATGCCGGTTGCATCCGGTCGCCCACGGCAACGGAGGGGGCGTCGCTTCCAAACCCCGCACGACGGGTTGTTGTCCGAGATGTCTGCGCTGTCGCCGGACCGTCCAGGCTGTTGTCCGGGTTTTCTGGGCTGCTGCCTAGATTGCTGGAGGGTTGAAAGTTGAAAGCGACACTTACCCGCTCACCCTGCAGAGCGTGATGACGATTGTTCCAATCGTGTCTTAATAGTTTTTACAATAAATAAGTTCGTGGGAGCATTCTCTAAATTATAATATCATTGCATATCTCCATTCCACAGATCTCCGTGACTTGGAAACCTCCCTCTTCATGGGGTTTTGATGGGTTTTGGTTTACCAACGTTTGCTTCAGAGCTTTGGGATTGTCTTCGTGGAGAGGCTTTGTTCCCGGCACGTTGGACGAGCAGACAGGCTTCAAAAGTATGGAGCCCGGGAAGACACACTTCGGTGGCTGCATCTCGGCTCGGTCGTGGCTTTGCTTTTCTGCAGCCGCATTTTCAGGTTCATTCAGCGGGCATTCGCTGTTGCTTCTGGCCCAGCCGATGTGAAGGAATCGCCGCATGCATTCACGTCCCTTCGAAATCAGTTGAGTGTCGAACTGAGGAACACTCCTCGGTTCATGACATACCTAGAGACAGAAGAGAGATAATGATATCGAATGTGGCACTGGGTGTAGGTGGGTGACCCGCCATAACGCGTGTTTTCTTGCATTGACGCAGGATTTGCCATTTCTCGACGAGTCCTCTCTCATGCACCAAAAGACAATTGGCAGGTTTTTGTCCCTAAGCCCTTAAGCCATAAGTTTTACTTGGACCACCCAGACCCCATTAGGCTCCCCCCACTCTTCCTCAGAAAATCGTGTACCAAACCCTTTACCCCCCCCCCCAGACGCCACCCAAACCCTTTCTTTATAGACCCCAGCAACATCCAGCCCCCTCCCCTCCTAAATCCCACGAACCACGCGAAACCCTCAAAACCGTTCTGCTGTACTACTACCGTATCTGAACTACTACCGCACCTGTGTATTCCTCTACCGGGCAGGACGGGGGGTCTGGAGGAACACGGGATAACACTATTCAGGGCGGCAGAGGCACAAAACCCAGTGCCACATTAGGGTGCGGCCAGCAAGAAGGAGCCGTCATCAGCTGAATGCTGGAAGCTTGCGTAAGTGAAACTGGGATATGCTGCCTACTACAAGTGAAGGAGGGCCAACGTGATCGGAGAAGTGGCATAAAGCTTGCCGCGAAGCCCTCGGATATCTGGAGTTCTTGAAATGACTTTTGGCTCCGAAGTGCAAGGAGCCGCCTACCGGCGACAGGTGATGGCGCTTGCATTCAACTGGGGCACCTTTGCTTGCTTCCGTCCTTGCAGGCCGTGGCACAAGTGGCTGCAGGTTGAGAGGTGCGCAGAGCAAGTGTGGCAAGCACAGCGTGCGTGATCTTGCGTTACCTCGCAGTATCGACACACCATTCAGCACGGCTTCGCACTTCTTTGCTACTAGTTACTAGTTAGTGGACAACAGCAGCTGCAGCGATCTGGGCATCGGTACATAAGCAACTTGACAAGAGATCGAAGAAATTCATTTGTTGTGGAATCTCGCGTGGATTTTTCAGGGACTCGAGCAGAGGAAAGCGAACCCAGCGTGGGGAAGGGATGCCATCCAAACGCCAGGAGGAATAAACACAATCGTGTCCCCCAATCCGAGCAGATCAACTCTGGAAATCCCAGATTCGAGAAGAAAATCTTGGGCCGCACTAGCCACGGCCTTTTCTAACGCTGCATATGCAGTCGAGGACAAGGAAGCAGCATCAGTAAGGAGCGGAGCGAAGAAGCCCAGCCAACATGATTTCGAACATAGCATTCGTTGGGCGTCAGCAAAGCTTCGCACAGGCCAGCGGCAGATGAGAGTGCGTGCTCAACCTCAGCCACACTGTACTGTTGATCGATTTTGATCGGCAGTTGCTGGCACAATATCTTGTCGTAAGGCAACACAGGTCACAAGCGGACTCAGATCAGCTTGGGTCTGGCCAGCCGAAGACAAGGAATCCCTGTCGAGTCATGGGGCACAGGGTTTTACTAGCAAGACTATCTCTTAAGTAGAATTTAATTCAATAAATGGACGGTACGACTTGTGCTGCTGCTTCCCACACGGACGCTCGCAGGAACAGTGGCCTAGGCTTAGCTCTCAGCGATGGGTGATGAATGACCAGTGTAGCTGTCAAGACTCAGCAATGTGTCCACATCACACGCCAGGTTTGGACTGCGTGAGCCAGCAACAAAGCAGGCCATGTTTGATCTGGGTGTCGGAGTGGTACGATCATGGGAGGCCAAAAAGCCTTTTGGCAAATGGGGCTTGAGAATATAATGTGGTCCAGGATCCCAAACCCTGCAATCTTGAAAGCCCATGTTGGCTGCCAAGCAGCCAAGCATTTCAAGCACGGAATACCTACCAGCACTGGAAGATTGTGCTGCAAATCGAGCCCTCTCCTCGTACATCTCATGCTCAACAGATCTCAATAGCCAGTGCACATTCAGATCCTCTTCGCAGCTCATTAAGTCCGGGCTTGTGCAACGGGCAATGGAGAGGGAGAAAAACGACGGCTTTTTAGTGAAGACTGCCAGCAAGCTGATCTCCGGGATGCCAATCAAGAATCATGCCTCCAACGCCCACACGATCGGTGCCAGAAACACTCGGCGGCCGGGGGCCCAGAAGCGGAAGCACGTCAAGCTTTCTGATCGCAGGCTGGCTTCTGCAACGGAGACCGCGAAAATGAGCAGCATGGTGGCAGATACCTGGACCACTGGATGCGCGATCCTGTCCTTCTTCCTAACTTTCTACATGCCAAAATGTTTGAGGCCACAGATTGACAGTCGACGCCTTGGCTATGCCATGACATAAGCTGGAGACGTCAGCAAGGGATGCTGTGCATCCAAGCAGCCGTTCAAGGGCGCTGTGGCTTCGACGCCCGAGCCTGATATCGATTTACTTTGGCGCGAAACTGAGAAGCCTGAAACTCTCAGCACATCAGCCCCTTGGGCACTGGCGACTGCTGAATCTCTGTTATGTGCGCTTTGGCGGCCACATGTGTTCTCGACTCAGGTCGTACGTCTTTCCACATGAGTCTCCCGTTGCTGCCAAGATGGATGGTTTGGGGCTACCGAGGCCGGGAATGCCGATCACTCGACACTTAAGCGATCGTAGTGGAATGAGATGGAATGAGTCTCGGACTCGTTGCAGGTGGTTTATGGACCTTGCCAAACCAACACGGGTTCCCGTTCAGGCTTGGGCACAACGTCGCTTGACCTGAAAGCACTCTTGGTGGTAAGCTGTTTTGCCTCGAAGGAGCGTGCACAGCCGATCGCCCGGACAAAGAGTTTGACGCGCCCAGCAGAGGTGTGGATCACAGCTGCATGATGATTGTCAGGACGACAGCTACAGAACTGCAGGAACGTCAGAAATAGTGGCATGCCGAACGAAAGAAACGAGGTCAAAAAGACACGAAGGACCAGTTTCGTGAATCACGCGAGGACGGGCGGCACAGTGACTCGCTAGCACAGAGTGCAACACTTGTCTTCTGTTCAAAGTGACAACGAGCGCTAATAATTCGTCTCTCTCGACAGCGACAGACGGCATTTTCTCAGATTCGTGGCAGCATCGACTTCTGCGGTGTACGTTCGAAGTCAGACATTGAATCGTCTCCAACACACAGATCAAGATATCCACAGCGGAAGACTCCGGGTGGTGCAGGAGACACCCAAAGTGTGGTCAAACACATGGCTACGCCAGCCACCAACGCACTGCCTGCGCTCATCAGCACCACAGCATCTGTCAAAGAAGATCCGATCGTACTCAGCGTCAACCGGCGTAGGGTTGTTCTCAGCACAGGCACATGGGCCCAAGCGTGCATGATCATGGCGGTTACACATGGCCCGGTCAGGAGACCATCCTGCATCCGAGACGTCCTGGTGTTTACAGGTTCTTAAGGGCCCGCGATCGCCGCCGCGGCACGGACCAGGCGACACCTTGTCAAAGAACTTGGAGAGATCCCGTGAGCAACGACGAATGAGCAGTGAAGGTGCAACGAGGGTCCTCCCACCCCAGCACCGCACACTTGGCCCAACGAGCCTGGATGGCTCCAGGTGGCTGCAAGGCTGGCAGACTTGCAGGCTCATAGGGCCCCCTCACGTTCAGGTTTCGGTGGACGGGTTTTGGTCAAGCCGTCTCAACATAGCGAAAATCATGTCGGGCGTGGGCAGGGACGACTTGGCGACCAAGGGGCTGGTTGCACCGTTTGTATACATGGCACCGTGACAGGGCTCCGACAGAGTTCGCGGTTTATGGTGATGGGAGGACGCGGCCGCAATCGATCGGAATCGGTCCGTCACCCGAGAGATACAGGTCTGTGCGTGTGGACAGCACTGAATCAACATCGGACGTCAAAGAAATAGGGAAATCAATCTTCGATCAGCGTGTGTTATCGATAGCGGTCAAGTTCAGGCTTCGACCCCAAACATCATTTATGTCGACTGTCGTGCAACACCAAGTTTTCGCGCCAATATCTGTTGCAGGACACCGAGTGCAAGCTTGGTGGGAGCCTCGCCAAAGGCAGATGGTGCAGCGAATCTGGGTCAAAGCATTTTCAGCGGCAGTGTTCAACAGGCAGGACCCTCCGCAACCATGACAATTCTGTCAAGAACTCCATTTTTTCCCTCGTGCACATGGTCCATGCTTCAGGTTCTGGAAGAGTTGGCGAATGCAGCTTGAGACCAGCTTATGTTTGTGTGGAGACCGAGCTCGCATAAGTCCACGTTTCGAATGTTTCACGTTGCTAGATTGTTCGATATTGTTCGAGACGCAGTCGCAACAAGCAGTGTTGCATGTATCGGTTTGAACAAGAGTGGAAGATGGTTCCACAGACGCCACAGACATAGACATAATACCTTCTGATGGCCTTGTGGCCATGTTTCCTATGAGTACTGTAGTTGGTCCATCACATGTTCGTGCAAGGTGCTGCGGCTCACTCGTTTCATCCTGTGCTTGGATCAAGTTACGCACGAACGCACAGAGCACAAAGCCTGAGCCTCGTGCGCAACTGTCCAAAGGCGTCCCAGTCTACATTCGCGAACAGTTTGTACATGTCGGGTACCTAAAAACATGAAGCTCATGCCCGAGACCTCAAGCGAAAAGCATGCTGACAAGTTTCAAGCATTAGCGTTCAAGTTCAGAAGCAACATAGCAATGTTTAGCCACCTCCGAAACTAAAAGGCTCCATCTTGTGTTGGCTACATAGTTTATGTGCAGAATCCTGCAAAGCATAGCACAACTAGGAAGCCTTTTTGTGCATTGGCCCTCGGAGCTTTGCGTGAAGCAGGGCCTCAGGCACGTCCGGGTCGCATGCTGTGGTGGTGGGGCTGTTTCCAGCAGCTTACATGTCGGAGTTGCGAGAAATTTCGGGTTTAACCAAGACTTTCTGTACGACCGACATAGTGGATTGCGTTTCGGTGTCACCTGTTAGTGTCCACGAGACAGCTGGATTGGGAGAATGAAGGAAACGCAGAGACCGCCAGGGCCCATTCAATGTTGGTGGGGAGTTCGGCTGAGCTCACGGTTGCTCACGATGCAGACTTTGTGGTGAGGAGAGACAGACTGGCTTGTCCGGCAGATTGAGCAATTGCTGGCCTTCCTAGCTCCTCATAGAGAGAACTGGTGGAGAGGTCAGGCTGAGAGCAACGGCATATCTGTGGAAAGTGATCTCGCGACACTGTTCGGGCCCTGTGTAGTCTGCAACCGGACATGGGCCACCTTGCCGACGCTTTGACGTAGATCGGTGTGTCTGCACAGGTGAAGATGAATTCGACCCAGGACAGCCGGACCGCAGAGCTGCCGATGGTAGCCATTGTCGATGTCGAACTTCCACTGCTCAAATTGGACAGCCGATGCTACTTGTGGTATGTTTTGGCTAATGTCATTGAATATCTTTAAGCATGTCAAACCAGCACCTGAGCTCGTAAAGCCTTTCCACCGGGAGCCCCAGCTTTCCCATCAGTTGTTGCCGAGAACAGCCCAATCTCAATGAGTTGTTCCGGCTTGCATCATGCGCCGTGTGCACATGACTTGCCAGGAGCCTGCAATGAGATCCAAGGACCTGCTTGGCCTTTTTGGCTTCATTGCAGGGCCAGAGATGATGACCCTTCCAGCCTTGTGTACACTTCGGAAGCTGTTCTGCCAACATGATGGTTGGATGACCAAAAAGCCAATGCTTGCTGTCAATATACAGTGCTGCTTTGCGCAGCAGCCAACTTCTCGGCCAGGTTACCACGGAGCAGGCGCCAGGGCTGCAGAGGCTGCAGGCAGGATTATTGCTGGCTTTGATGCTGATGCCGTCTTTCAACATCCTTGGTTTATCGTTTTGGGACAAGCTGCCCGACTTTCAGTTTGCTGGCTGTCCAGGAGCGGATGATGCTAACGTTCTGCCAGAGACTGTCAGGAGCAGAGCTTCCAGGCGCCTTCCCTGGGCACAGGCAAAGCACTGAACATCCCCAGACCGCAATCAGTCGTCAGGACGGGCCGTTTCCCGACTCTCCTGGCTGGCAGTGCAAGCACCACTGCCCCCACAGCACTGCGTGCGGACCTCGGGCATCGCAGCTTTGCTCAGCATGTTTGAGCGCTGACGGGAATGCTGTCTAAAGATCTGGCGTCTAGCTGCTTCAGAATCACTGGTTCCAAGCACCAAGTAAAATGTCTAATTTCAATACAAGAAATCATGACACCAATCCGCCACTCTTTTTCTCTTCTTCTATGTCTACATCCCCACTAGCAACTACGACCACTCGAAATTAGCCTGCACAGGATCTTTCAGAATCTGAGCGTCAGCGTATGAATGCTGATGCACAGGCCACACTGAACGACATCCCGCATAGACCGGCATGGCAATCGATCAACTTTCGAATCGAGACTCATTCAGGGGATCCTGCCAAAAAGACTTGGGAACCTAATCAGATTGTCTTAGCTGCGGTGCTGCATTGCTTCCTGTGAGACATCCGGAACCGTAGCATGGAACAGCTTGGAGACGCATCAGTTGCAAGTTCGAAGCACGACCAAGGCTTGCAGAAGGAAGCGATCAACATCCCGACGAACAAGGGACGTACCTTGGGTCATGCGTCCCAAACAGATCCATACCTTGATTTCCAAATCTTTGGGCGCAACGCACCGTTCCTCGCAGATCTGCTACGCCGGAGAATGGCAATGAAGGGTGTGGGTGCAGTTTGTGCAGTACAGCCTGGATGCTGCCACAAGGGCAGTGTTCGCGTGTACTCCGAAGCACCCGCAGCTACCACGGCTCCTGCGGTGTTCCCCATTGACTGACGGCACATCGCAGAGCCATGCAAAGCCCATGAGCCTCCAATGAGCAAGATTTCTTGAGATTGAGAACAGGAGAGCCGCAGGCGTTGCCCGCCAGCGTTGGGCTTCGCGATGCTCAATGCTGCCAGCTGAGTTTGCCGCACGCACGCAAATCGGAGCTGGAAGGAGCGGCAATCCAGGGCCCAGGGCTGCTTGGAGTGAGACTGGAGTCTTTGTTGATAATGCTAGAAGGGCCCGTGGCGCTGGCAAGCAGCCGCAGCCCAGGCCGGCACAACAAAAGCCTTCCGGAGTGGCAGTTACGCGACGGTGACAGGGAACCGACGCAACCATACCGCTTTCCCTTGGGAGTGAAGCTTTGGAGAAGTGCGGGGACAGAGGTAACCCTGCACATTGCTGCAATTTGCACATTCAGAATTCCTGCAACGTTTGATTTGAGTGAGGCACGTCTGCCTCCCGTTGCCGGTGCAACGCTCGATCAAAACACTACAAGATGTTGCTTGCAATCGCCCAGTATGGGGCTCTCTATGTTGCAATGCTCTCGCTGGCTTAGCCCCGCTTTCGTTTCCAGCCTTCGAAGATCGCAGCTGCTTCTTCAGCGGCACATGCAGCAAAGTGCTTTTCGAGTCGGCTCTTGGCATCATGTTCTGTGCAGCTCATCGACCAGGCTCAACATGGCTTAACCAACCCTCGTGCTACGAGGCCCACAGGAATGCTTCGCAAGAGCTGTCCCGATCCGAAATGCAAAATGTCGGAGACAGTTGCTTAGCAACGGACGCTCAATCGCTCAATCGTCTGTCTGGTGTCACTTCGATCATTTTTCGATCATGGCTTCGATAGTCGCACGTTCAGCAGCTCCGACTGCATTGCTCCAGCTTGTACGCTTGCAATACGGTCCGAGATGGATTTGTGCCAGAACCCTGCACTTACAGCCCAATGATGCGCTTTAACCGTCCATTTGTCTCACTGCTGAGTACACCCATGGCCCCATCATTGACGGCACGCGATTTCCGTGCCGCATGCGGGCTGATGCCTTCATCCTTTGCCGGCACAAGGCCTGCTCGACAAGGTGCAAGATCCTGTGGAAACATGTCCAGCAGGGGTGGCTACACATTGCCAAGCTCGATGTTCGTGCATGCCGTCGCCCCTGCTCGAGTAAAGTATCGAGATGTCCGGCAGCTTACTTGCTGCAGGCCTTGGGTCGAGTTTCCCTGATGCATTTATCAGATAGTATCGATTGTTTCCGACAAGGCCTGTGGCAGGGACAAGCAATTTCCAAATGAGCATCTGACACTGAACGATGTCGCCCGTGATGCTCTCCTGCCTGGCTTGGCCCACACCTCCCAGCATCTCCCAGTTCAGTGGCACCGCTCAGGGCCCCGATCCCCGCGACGAGCAGTGGCACCGTTCGCATTGTTGCGGCTGGTAGGCCAATGCGGCATGTGCAGCTTTTCCATCAGACCTGATGGTCCAATTTCAGTGCGTGACCTTTGCTGTCAATTTCAATGGACCCTCTAGACTGAATCCGGCATGGCCTTGTCGGTTGCAGCATTCACAGCGCCCTGCTCTTCTCCACCTGTGCACTGCTTTCCGAGATGGTCACAAGACGTTGAGGGGGCATGTGCAGCTCAGTGACTAGCCTTGACAATCTGTTTGCCCTACTCCCGGTAGTTGTGCTCCTCACAGCTGTGCCTTCCGTCGCGTGTGGTTTGAGTGCCGAGCGTGTTCCTGCGTCCGTTGCCAGTGCAACGCTCCATCGAAGTGCAAGATGTTGGTTGGGACGTTCTACGTTGCGATGCTCTCGCCAGCATGGCCTTGATTTCGTTTCCCAGTCTTCGTTAGTGGGAGCAGCTTCTGCAGCAGCACACTCAACAAGGTGCTATCTGAGTTTGCTTGGTGCCGGGCTCGTCGACTGGCCTTAACCAACTCATCCAACATGCTCGTGTTGGGGGCTTTCGTCAGAGTGCCACCATTTGTCGTGCTTCATGTTGTTGCCGCGTGTGGACACGCAAACTGTTATGCGATGCAGAGTGTTGCAGTGCCGTCGCTGGCTAGGCTTTGCTTTGTTTCTAAGCATTCGATGGTCGCAGCAGCACCTGCGGCACCTTATGCATTGCTGCAAACTGCATCACGCTGCTTTTCGAGGTGGCTCTGTGAACGAACTGGCTGTCTGCAGGTTACCGACTAGCGTAGCCGGGCTCGCGGGAGGTCGCATTTCAGCGGTTGATTTCCATGCAACGTGGGGAGTGATGCCCATGTCCTTGTTTGTTAGCCCGAGAGCCACCCGAGATGCAAAGCGTCGCGCGCAGTGGTTTGGGACAGGAGGCTCGATTTTGCCCTGCTCTCGCTGGCATGCCACACATGCTCAGATGGTCACGGTTTCCTTCAACAACACGCAGTCACATCTCGAGAAGCCGGTTACATCCACAAAGCACCTTAAATAGAATTGGCGAAATCTGTACCAGCAATGCCTGCAAATTTGGATCTGTCGACGCTCTACACCAGAATGCTCACGGGCACCATGTGTGTCCATGGCCCAACCCTATTGTTGGATGTTCTACGCACAGCTCAATTGCCAGCCACATGGAGGCTGCTGCCCGCTGCTTTTGCCGCTGCCGAACCCGCCCGACGTGCAAGGTGTTGAGCAAAGTTTTCCTGCAGAGGACGTCTCGTTGTGCTGCCGCTGGAAGGCCCTGGCCCCAGCCAGCTAATCTTCAACAGGCGGAGCTTGTTCAGTGGCACGCAGAGCTGCAACCTGCATCTGTACAATGCTTTCCGATGATTTCCGATGGTTGTCTTTGTCATAATGCTGACGGGGCATTACCTCCAATGGGATTTTCGTTGCTTGTCACCCTTGATGCCTGTAACCGCTACCGGCGCACAAGCCACCCATAGCCACCCAAGATGTAAGAAAGATGCTGTGCAGAGTCGTCCAGCAGAGCGTGCTCCTCACAGCTTTGCCATCCGTCGCAAGTGATTTGAGTGCCGCGCGTGTTCCTGTTTCCATTGCCAGTGCATGCCAGTGCAATGCCCGAACGAGGTGAAAGATGTTGCGTGCTTGCGACGTTGTGCGTTGCGATTGTCGAGACGGCTCCGTGAACAGGCTATGCGCAGTTTGCGTACCTAGGTGTCTCGCAGCGGGGGGTTGGGCGCGTGTGCCGACTTCCTCCCGTCCAGCAGAGAGTGCTCCTCACAGCTGTGCCATCCGTCGCCTGTGATTTGAGTGCCGCGCGTGTTCCCGCGTCCGTTGCCAGTGCATGCCAGTGCAATTCCCGAACGAGGTGAAAGATGTAGCGTGCTTGCGACGTTCTGCATTGCGATGGTCGCGGCGGCACCTAGGCATGCTGCAAACTGCATCACGATGCTTGTCGAAGCGGCTCCGTGAACGAACAGGCTATGCGCAGTTTGCGTACCTATAGGTCTCTCGCAGCAGGGGGTTGAGCGCGTGTGCCATCTTGCTCCCGTGTTCTGCGCAGTCCTCCGGCAGAGCACGTGTCCTTGTGCAATGCTTGCTTGCCCTGGTCCATCCTGGTCCGTAAATTCGCCCATATTGGCCTTCACCTCTTCTATGGAAGGAGCTTCTTCAGTGGCACACGGTGCAAGCTTGTAAAGATAGCTTCATTGCTCATGCTTGGACTCTGGGTCCCTGTCGCGCTTCATGCCTGTGTCCTTCGCTGATGCACAGCCTTCCCAAGATGTGCAAGTTGCTGCGCACAGTGGTTCAGTGGAGGACGTATCATTGCACGACGCTCTCGCTGGCTTGCCCTGGTCCCTGAGCCGACCCACCTTCCAAAGTTCAACAGGCAGAGCTTGTCAGTGGCACGCGGCGACAGGCTGCAACCTGCATCTGTGCAAAGCATTCCGATGGTCCTGTTTGTTACAAAGCTGACGGGGAATGTGCAGCTCAGTGATCAGCTTTAATATCTTTAATGTCCGTTTGCAAGACTTGTGCAGACACAAATTTAATTTCGTTTACTTATCCTGGGACTCCGGTCGCACCACTGTGTGTCTGCAAGCTACATCGTCGCAGCGCTTTTCAAAGTGGCTCGTCCCTCAAAACGCCTGAGCGATCAGCCTCAAAGGTGTGTGGAACGCGGGGTAAGGATCTCCTCTCAGCCCCATCGCCTGTCACTTCGTTTATCCATGGCACCTGTGCACTGATGATGGCATGCTCTGCCGGCAGACTGTGCTTACAGGATCCAAGAAATCGCACACATGTTCACTGCGCTTCGCCATCGCCGGCATGGCCGGCTTGGCGGAGTTCCGCCTCAACCTTCAATGTTAGAAGCACACGAGCACCCTCTGCATTGCGCTGCATGCTGCATCGCCTTCGCCGCAGCTTCACCTGGCATGACAGCCTGACATAATCCCTGCATATCCCTGCAAATGTGTGCAATTTGTACCTTTTCCCCACTGCCTAGTGGAGTCGAATTTGCTTGCCGCGCGTGCAAAAACGTGCTTACGAATTGTGTCGGGATGGGGAGACATCCTCAGGGATGAGGGCGCAGGGCCTCGGATTCTGACAAGGGCTTCAGAGTCATTCTAGACTGCACCGTCTAGTCATGGAGTCATGGCTCTGTTCTGTCTTGCGACCTAAGTCTTCATCACTTCTTCATCTTAGGCCAATGCAATGCTATGTATGTTGACACTTCGGACTATTTGCACACCCTGGTCACCATCCTTTTTGAAACGTGTGTATTTACCTCGATCAGCAGCATGCATTAGTGTAAGTCTGTTTTTGTTTGGGGTTCATGCATTGAGAGCGGTCGAACAGAAAACCACGAGAAGAGCCCAGACATTTTGCACATGTGGGTCCAGAAGGTGGCCTAGTGCTCGCATGTGCCACTTTGACGGGCACATAGCAATAGAAAGCAGCCAAGTGGAGACCGT